GGTGAGGAGGGGTTAGGGTGGGGGTACAGTGTTCCTGGGTGAGGGGGACAGGGTGAGGAAGGGTTAGGGTGGAGGTACAGTGTTCCTGGGTGAGGGGACAGGGTGAGGAAGGGTTAGGGTGGGGGTACAGTGTTCCTGGGTGAGGGGGACAGGGTGAGGAAGGGTTAGGGTGGGGGTGCAGTGTTCCTGGGTCATTCCTGGAGGTCCAGACCATGAGCAATACCAGGAGCTGTGATTCTGTCCCATTTGGCACTTCTCGATATTCTGTTGTGAAGTGAGAAAGAACGCAGCCAATTTGCACACAGCAAGATCCCATAAACAGCAATCTAACAACTTAAATAATGCGAAGAACTACAATGCTGGAGATCTGAATCAAATTGTGAAATGGATGGAGAAACTCAGCAGGTCTGGCTGTATCTGTGGAGAGAGAAAGCAGAGTTCTGATGAAGAGTCACTGGTCTCGAGACATCGGCTCTGCTTTATCCCATTGATGTTGCAGGACGTGATGAGATTCGCCAGTAATTTCTGTTTTGAATCTGATAACTTACCCCACTTGTCAACATCCTGTTCCTGTGTGAAGTTATTAACATCTCATGCTGGCTTGTGGCCAGTAGACACTGTGTTGTCACAGCCACCAAGAATTGGATATAGCTGCTCCTGCCTCAGTCAGTGTAAAATCCTCAGAGTGTTTAAGAGAAACGGACATCTGCTATTCAGGTGTGAAATGCTACATTGAGTACCCTGGGTTAGCGTGACAGAGCTGCACTGGACAGGCAGACATGATTTGCTGACTTCAGATGCCTTTTGTACATTTTTCTTTCTTTTCATTAGGGAGGTGGGTGAAGGAGGACAGGGCTGGCATTTGTTGCCCAGAGAAAGTTTGCGAATTGGTGGGAATTGCTGGGTGTTTTCAATGAGCACTTTAGAGTCAACCTCTTTCATGGGGGGCAGGCTCACCATGGATCCAGACTATGAGAGGAGAGAAAATGCTGGTCCCTGAATAGATACTTATTAAAGT